GGTGCCCAGAGTGGTGGATGCAGGACCCAAGGAACTGTCCTCTCCAATCTGCCCTGGGGATTGTTCCTGCCTACGCCGACCCCCGGGAACCTTGGAGACGCCCAGCCCGTCTGCCTGGCACCTCTGTCCCTCACGCTTTGAGCCCTGAGCATGTTGCCAGGAGACTAGATGGACCTGCCCCGTGGTAGAGGTGACTCCAACCAATTTCTTCTTTCCCCCCTGTCACCTCTGTGTCCACTCTCCTCTGAATCTACGCCATGGTCCCCACCTGTGAAGTCAATGTGTGTGTATGTACCTGTGGGCGCGTCGGGATGCCGAGAGGAAAGAGCCCCTCATGGGTGGAGGTGAACAGGGGTCCCCCAGAATCTTAGGGGCTCTCATTCCCAAAGGAAACCCCATGATAGTGGCTGAGCACTGGCATTGGAGGCTGGAACCCTCCCTTCTCTTCTGGACTCTGCCCACCTCGTGGCCCCGGGCCAGTCCGTGTCTTTCTCCTGGCCTCAGTTTCCCAACTGTACCAGGAAGGGTTGGACGCGGAACTGCTGCGTAAGCGCGCGCTCAGCGTGGACTCGGCGCGGTGCTCCTTCCCGGCTGGATGGGGTGTGGGCTGGGGGCGGGGGCCGGCACGCGGTCCTTCCTCCACCCCCTGGCGGTGCGGAGGGCGGTCGCGGCCGGGCGGGGCACTCACCTGGCAATCTACCATCATCCTCAGCCCTGGCAGCACATCGCCGGCCCCAGGGCGGGGCCCAGGGCTCGCAGAGGCCGGTGGCCTCGGCCCGCGCGCGGCGCAGAGGGGCGCCCGGCTGCGGGGCTCATGGCGCGGCCTCCCGTCCCCGCCGGGCCCGGGGCTCCGCCAGCGCCGCCGCCGCCGCCAGCGCCGATCCCATTGTCTGCGCCGCGCCGCCGGCCGCTCGGGCCCCGCTGCTGGGTTCCGCCCGGGCTCCCGGGCTCCGGCCGGGTGGGCGGAGACCGCCGCGGCCCCGCCCCGCCCCGCCCCTGCCCTGCCTACCGCAGGTGTGAGGGGCGGACCCCGCCGCGCGAGCTCGGGGACGCGCAGCGGTGTCCCCCTCGCTGGGTGACGTGAGTGGACCCCGCCGGGGCAGCAGGGCCTAGAGTCTACGGCAGGGAGCGCACACGGGGCCTGCGCGGGCCCGTGGACGTCGCGTGCACGTGAGCCCCGCCTTGCCGCGCGCTCGCGCGCAGCGCACCGGGGAGTCACAGCGCGTCTCCCACCTCCGCCACCTGCTCTGTTCCTCCTGTGCCCCCTAGGACCTCCAGCCGCCCCAAACGCAACCGGGCGGGGGCGGGGCTGGGCCGGGTGGTAGTGTAGGCCTGGAGATGTGAGATTGTACACCCCCATCCTTCTGTCCTACCCCGTATGCCACCTGCTGGGGCCAGCTCAGCGCATGAGCGCATGGCTGGGACAGGCAGTCCTGGAGGCGGTAGTGGACACGGGGTACAGAAAAGAAGGTCAAGCCGCCCCTACCGCCCCCCCCACTCCCTTCCTTGTTTTCCTGGCAGGACTTCCGGACACGAGGTCCAGCCTGTCGCCAGCTGCAGCCCTGGCTGGTGAAAGGGGGCTGGAGGAGCCCAGGGAGGAGGGGCCCACCACTGGCTGAATGACTGTCGGCGGTAGTTAGTGTTAGTAAGAACAGCCCCTGGGTGCTCAGTGATTTTGACATTTTTTATTTGTGAGCAGTGGCCTCAGCTTTCAAGGTCACTGAGCTCCAAGTGAATGGGGGGCTCAGAATCATTGCTCTTCACCTTCACTGAGCCTGCACTGACCATCAGAGGCCTTGTCCTGTGTTGGGCGCCCTCAGCCAGGCGACCTCCTGAGTCCAAGCACTTTGGGCACCTTCCCCCTGCTTTAATCCCCAACACTCCCTCCCAAGGTCAGAGTGACTGACCTTATCTTCAGCGGAGGAAACTGGGCTCTGAGAGTCACCACACGAGATTGCCTGTCACACGGCTGTGACGTGGCCCTGCTGTGGGTTTCAACCCAGATCATTCTGACCCCAAAGGCTGTGGTTGCCCAGGAGCCCAAGGTTGTGGCCTCTGAGCCCAGCCTTGGAGGTGAGTCCCTCTTGGATGGGGGGCTTCAGGGAGGGGCGCTGCAGGCAGGGGCTCTGCAGGGGGAGGGCTTGGTGGGGTCCCTGGGGGAGGAAGGCTGTAGGGAGGCTGGGGTAGGAGTGAGGGGTGCACACACTGGGGAGGGTGTCTGGACCAGACCACACAGGGGTCTGAGTGTGGGGCAAGGAGCTGGGGATCACTGCAGGTTGGGGGCAGCAGGGGACACGATCCATGTGGTTTTATCAGAGCCACAGCATCTCAACTGGAAGGAGCTTAGTGGGTGCGTTATTCACCCCACCCAAGCATGCATCCCTCAGTTTCCTCCTGTGCACAGTGGGGGCTGTGATGGTCATCTGCCCCCTCCCAGGGTTGGGCATGTTGCATAGCTATAGGTCCCAGACCTAGCTGCTTCTCCAAGTACCTGCCCAGAAGTCGGTGCCCAGAGGTATCCCAGCCATAATCCCATTTGATCGTCACCCCAGGGCCTCAGAGAGATGGAGTAACCTGCCCAGCATCCCTCGTGTGCTAGGACAGACTCAAACCCGTGTTCTCTCAGCTGCCCCACATTCATGCAGTCATTCAACAAACATTCATGGAATGCCTCCTGGGTTTCCGGTACCAGGGTAAACCTGGCTGACTGCCGTCTGTACCCTCTTGGGGTTTACCAACTGGGGAAAGAGGTGGAGATGGGCAGAACACTGTCAATGATGCCATAGGGATGAGGATTTATGGGAACACTGAAAGGCACCCACCCTGGAGGGGGAATAAATCAAGGCAGGCTTCCTGGAGGAGATGTCGTGAGTCTGTCCCCAGGAATTGGCCAGGTGATTGGACAGGGAGGCCTGACCAGCAGGCTGTTGAGAGTGGAGGTGTGCAGGGCCAGACCCTGTGGCAGAGCAGGGATGCTGGACTGTAGGGAGTGGGGTGGTGGTAGGTGGCCATGAGGGGACAGCAAGTTTAAGTTTCAGGGGCCTCCCTGGCAGGGGGCACTGCAGACATTTTGCATCTGTAATTTTGTCTATTTCTGGCACTCCCCCTCCCTCTGCTGGGTTGGGCCTGTCTCCCGCCACCCCTCCCACTCCTACCAGGCCCCTTACTTCTTCCCACCCATGGAGCAGCTCTGGCCCCAAGCCCTCAGCTCCTTTTTGGAAAGTAGCCTGGACCCTGGTTTGGGTCCAGGAGTTGGGCACTGTAACTCACTCCACTGTGTCTGAGGCCTGCGCCCTGGGATGGAGACCAGGGTAGCCATAGTGCCTGGGGTTTGAGCCACGGCCGAGAAGGGCCCATCAGCTGGGCTGGGAGTGAGAAGGGGCTCACTTCCCCGCAGCAAGGATGGTGCTGCCCGGGCCTCAGGGCCTCAGGGCCACCTGCTCCTGAGGGCTTCTCTGGTCTCCACATCAAGGGCCCTCTCCCTGCTCCAACATGGAAGCTCCCTGAAGGCGGGGCCTGCTCATTCAACACTGCTGGCCTCACACACACCCTGGGGCAGGTCCAGGCTCCATGGTTAAGGTGCTCCCCACTAGGGACACATGGGCCATGGGTCCACCCTTGTCCCTCTGCCCAGGGAGCCCCTTGGGGCCTCTCCCTGACCGTCCTCTCCAGTGCAGGCTGTCTCCTCACAGCGGTCACTCAGTCTGTCCGCACTCTTGCAGTCTGTCCTCGCTTGCCGCCCAAAACACAGGCTGCAGGAAGCGTGGACTTGGGGCTGGCCCCCGTTTTGCCAGGGGTGGTCCTCCTCCTCCCGACGTGGCCACAGACCGCAGCAAACCCCACCCTCTGCCCCTGCCTTACGTGGCAAAGATGCTGCTGCCCCCAGGGGAGTGGACACTGGGCCACCCCCCACTGTATCTCTGTCCCAGGCAGAGGGAACCACCGCAGGGTTCTGAAGACCCTCTAATCCTGGGCCTGCACCACGGCCTTGGGGTCCCACGCCCGCCAGGGGCATCCCAGGGCTGAGGATGACCGCGGATGCAGGAACCCCGGCAGACATACTTGCTATGCGCTCAGGGACCAAGACCCCACAGGGTATCCAGCTGGTGGGCTCTGCGCCCCCCGACGCAGGAGAGCACATCTGGCGACATTTCCACTTCACCCATCTCCCAGGAGGAGCAGGGTGAAATCCTGTCTGTTGCAGCGGCCAGCATCAGCCCAGGTTCTCTGGAAAACTGTACCCCGACCACACCCACCCGAGCTGAGTGTGTTTGCAACCCAGGCTGTCTGCATCCCTGCGGGCTGGTGGCCAAGATACTCGGATGTGCAGGTGAAGAAACCCCGGTTAGGGCCGAGCACACGCCACCTTTATTAAAAACTGCCCAAACCCTCTTACAAAGGAGGCGGCTGGTGCCAGGGAGTGTGGTGCACCTCAAGGGAGGTGGGACATGAAACCAGAGAGAGCCTAGACCTGGTCGATTTCAAAGGCTCACTCAGGGTCCTGAGCGAGGAATTGGCTCCGTGTGGCTGGGGGACATCACAGTATCCAGGACCCCTGCAGCCAGAGAAAAGCGGTCCGGGATGCCTTTCACAAGAGAGGTAGAAGTGCAGCTTTAAGGGCAACAGGCAACAGAAGGGGGGCAGAGGAGAAATGTGAGGTACTGGGCGGGGCTGAGACTCCAGAGCCTGCCCCAAGGCACGTGTGCTGGGTGAGGCCTGCAGGGCCCTGTCTTTTTCCACCTCTGGTCTCCCCGCCTCCCGTCCTGCTGTTCCTGGGACACAGGCTGTGTGATCTTGGCGTTCTCCTCATACGCACACCGCCCTCCACAGTTGACAAAGGTCTTTACAGGCCCATTTTCCCACTGGATTCTGCTGGCAGACAGAGGTAGACAGCACAGGGCTGGTCTCACTTAAGGCTTGAGAAGTGAGGCACCGGTGCAAGGAGGCTCCGGTGAGCTGGGCGCTCACTGGGGTCCCCCCTAGCAGACCCGGCTCAGCCATCAACTTCTTAGCCAGTCGGTGTCCTTGTCGAGGGGAGAAAAGCGGATCAGCTTCAGGCTGGGGGTGGGGCTTCCTGTCATCCCAGAGGTACTCGGGGGACAGCACTTTGGAGGCTTATGTGAGACAAAGCGGCGGTTCAGGTGACTCTCCGCCTGCCAGGCCGCCACGATGCCGTTGGCCTTGTCTGCCAGGATGCCCATGTGGCAGCCTCTGGTAAACTCGTACACCTTGGCCACCCGCCCCCCAAAGACCGCCCCGCCATAATAGAAATCCCCCTCGCCATCCGCCACAAAGGCGGTGGAAAGAGGCCGGCGCTCGTAGGGGAACTGCTGGCGGGGAACAGCAAAGTAGCCGGGGTGAATGGCAGCGACCAGGTCCCCCAAGGTCTCGGGGCCCCACGGGTTCTGGAACACCATGTCCACATCGAGGCAGACGAGGTAGTCGACCTCCCGGTGCGCCCTCTCAGCAATGTGCTGGCTGATGCTCTGCATCCGGCGTGTGGAGATCTCCCAGCGGGAGTGCCTCGGGCTGGGGATGATGCTGCCGAGGCGGCCGGAGCCCAGCCGGACCCGAGGAACGGCCGTGGGGTCGTCAGTGAAGACATAATAGTGCACCTGGAACCCCTGCATGAAGAACTGCTCGGCTGACTCCAGGAAGTGCTGGACGAACTGGGTGTACCTGGTGGAGAGAATCCCATCATGCACCACGGCCTCAGCGGGGCCACTGCCCGGGTCCCCACTATGTGCTGGCACCACACAGACAGGGCTGGGGTTGGCCAGGCTGGGGTCCACCTCCCAGCTTCCCATCTCAAGAAGTCACTCAGGTCCACCGCTCGGGGTCCTTGTCTGTCAAATTCCCACAATCTTAGTACCAACTTCTTAAGACTGTCCTAAGAATGATACTTGATGACTCATATTCACAGACTGAGCTAACTTTTACTGAGCACTTACTAAGTGCCAGGCAGTGTTCTAAGGGATTCTTCTCTCCTTCTAGCCTCATAAACTCCCTAGAAGGCAGGGACCACAGTCCCCACTTCCTAGGCACAGACACTGAGGCTCAGAGAGAGGAAAGTAGCCAAGAAACGGGGAAGTGGCCGAGTCAAGGGAAGGTGAGTGGTGCTGGCTGCTGGGTGCCGATTGGGCCAGGGGTGTGGGGGTCCCCTGATCCCCGCTGGGACATCTATCATCTAGCCAGTGCTTAGCTGCTGGGGACCCATTAGGGTCCCTCTCTCAGGAGTCCCAGAAAGGGACCCAGAGGGAAGCTGCCAGGTGATGGCTCCTAAAGGAAAGGGCAGGCGGGGTGAGGAAGGAGAGGGGAAAACAGGAGGTGTCCAGAGAGCCCGCAGGCCGGAGGCTGGAGGAGGGTCCCTAAGGCAGGGCCAGCTCTGCCTGGGTCTCTTGACCTGCCTGTGGCCTGACCACGGACCCCCAATTCTATGAGGTGGTCTGGGGGGCTTTCCACTCCTTCACACCTGCCTGGACGGTTCAGGGGAAGCAGAAGGGGTGAAGGGACAAGGGTGTCTCCTGACAAAGGCTCCTGCCGCCCCCTCACCTGGGCTGCCTCCCCCTCCCCCCTTCCATGCCAGGGCCAGACCCCCTTCCTCCAGGAAGCTCCCCTCCCACCAGCATACTCCACTCTGCACTTCCCACCTGCACAGCACCTGGTTCAGTGCCTCCCTGGTGCCCGGGTTGGGGTCTTGTCTCTCCCCAGACTATAAATTCCTGGGGCTCAGAATTTATAACCCCCTCTACCCCCAGCCCAGCCCAGCCCACTGCTCACTTCCCCACGGCAAACACCGTGACCCCGACGGTCAGGTTCAGCGGCTGGTAGATATGACGCAGAAGTTCCGGCTCGAAGGTTCCCTCGGAGACAATGGGCGCTAGCCAGGGTGTGAGTGTCAGGAACTCTGTGGGCCTGGCAGCAGAGGAGGCCGTGGGGTCGAGACCCTCCCCTGGGAAAGCCTCCCTCTCATCTTGGCCCTGCCAAAGCTGTGTGACCCTGGGCAGCTTCATCCCTGTCTCTGGGCCCCAGTATCCTCATGTGGAAAGTGGGGATAGTCATAGTTACTTCCCAGCGTGGTCAAGACCAGGAGTTAATGCATGCCCAGTGTCTAGAGGAGCCTGGCATTTCCGGTGCCCGCTAAGTGCCTTCGGAGACGGGGGTCATCAACATCATCATCAACGACGGATCGAGCACGACTGTGCGGAAGACGCAGTGCTCTGCATTATTATTATTATTATTATTTTTGGCCGTGCCACGCAGCTTGAGGGATCGTAGTTCCCTGACCACGGATTGAACCCAGGCCCTCAGCAGTGAAAGCACGGAGTCCTAACCACTTGGACTGCCAGGGAATTCCCTGCTCTGCATTTTGCAAACACCATCTCATCTGGTCCTCCAACCTCCTATCAGGTGGGTATTATTATTATCCACCTGTGCAGAAAAATCCCCGAGGGGTTGGGTAACTTGTCCAAGGTCACACAGCTAGTGACAGAGCTGGACTGGAGCTCAGGTCCCAGACCACCCAGACCCCGAGGCCAGTGGACACCTCCAGTACCCCAACTTCCAGATCAGAGGCCTGTGCCCCCGCCTCCACCCCAGGTCTCTCCATTCTGTGCCCAGGCCCTAATCAACACCTACTTTTGCTCCAGCAGCTTGGGCTGAGGGTACTGTGATCTGCAATCAAGAAGGGTGAGTGGTTACGGGGAGGCAGCCCCCAGCCCCGGGGCCGCAAAGGGGGAAGTGACAGTCTGCTTACCGTGTCACGGGCTGGAATGACTTCTCCCCCTTGTACTGCACCTTCATGCTGCTGGTGGGAGAGGTGAGACAGAGCTATCAGTGCCGGTGGGGGGCAGAAACACTCAGCAGGGAAGATGAGGCCGAGGTGAAGCACCCCCATGGGACAGGCGCCCCCCACCCCCCAGACGCCCTTGACCCTCCGCCACTGCTCTGTCCACTCTGTCGGGGCTGGACTCCTATAGAGGCGGTCTGTCCAGGCTCACCGTGTGGCAGGGCAGTGATTCCAGCCTGGCACCATTTGTCTCCAAAGTCTTTTTCTGTGTCTCTTTCAAACATATTTGCTCTGGAAGAGCCTGGCACTGGGGAGACGGTCTGCGGAGCTGCAAAGGCCCAGTGAGCCCAGTTCTGCCACTTTCTAGCCTGGGTGGGCGAGTTACTTAACCTGAACCTACGGTGATGGTCAGTGGAAGGAGCCAGTTACACAACCACCAATCAAGGCGTCGCTGTGAAGGTACGGATTTTGTAGATGTCAGTAACATCTACACCAGTCGACCCCATGTAAAGATCCTCCCCCATAGTCTGGCAGGCCTGATATGGTCAGATGAAAAGCTATAGCATAGAACTGAGGTTTCCCTGAAGAAGAAATTCTGCCGGAGGACAGCAGTGCCAGCTCCCGCCGAAGAGTTCCAGCCCACCCTTCCCGACGGCCCGCTCCGTGGATTTCAGACTGGCTTCGCCACCCCACAGTCGTGTAAGCCGATTGCTTTCAATCAATCAATCAGTCAGTCAGTCAGTCAGTCTCCCTCCGTCTTCCTGGTTCTGTTTCTCTAGTGGAAGTCTGACTGATACACCCATTTTCCCTCATCTGTAAAATGAGGCAGCACCCTTAACCCTTAGAGCTGTTGGGAGAGGTAAGAGAGGTATGTGAGTCGGGGCCTGGCAGCCAGTGCCCAGCACGGAGCGAATGGTAAGGGCAGCACCCTGGCCCCTTCTTGGCAGGCTGTCTGTGTGGCCGGCCTCCACTAGCTGCGGCCAACCTGGGGGGATTAGGAAGGAGGGCTGATTAAGGAAGGAGGTGGCCGGCGATAGGGTCAGATACAGGAGGCTGCCGGTGACATGCCTCTGGCTCTGCCACCAGCTGGCTGTAGAGACCAGGGGCCAGACATCTCACTCCTCGGGGTTTAGTTCCCTCACCCTTAAAATGGGGACAATAATATCGCTCCCCAGGGTGGAAGTGAGGCCTGGGGGATGGAAAGGCTTGCCCAAGGCCACCCAGGGACGGGGTCAGAACCTGTTCCAGCAGAGGCCTGAGCTTGCCTGTAAGGCTCAGACCACCTGAGGACGTGGGTGCCTGCCATTCACTTGGGTCTCTTCAGTACGTCACCTACGATGGGATGGCTTAAGCCTCCTGGAGCTTTCCTAGTTTTTTCAGTCTATGCTTTGTGTGTGGGGTAAGATATACATAACAAAGATTTCCCATTTTAACCATTTGAAAGTGTACAGTTCAGGGGCATTAAAGGACATTCACATTGCTGGGCAACCATCACCACCATCCACGTCCAGAACTTTCTCATCGTCCCAGACTGAGACCCTGTCCCCCTGAAACACTAACTCCCCATTCCCTCTCCCAGCCCCTGGTAACTATTATTCCTACTTCTGTCTCTATAAATATGACTATTCCAGAGATCTCTTAGAAGTGAGACCCTATTATATTTGTCCTTCTGTGATCAGTCTATACTCTGGAAGCAACAATTTTTAAAAATTGATCCATCCAATTGGCCCCCTGCTCTAGTTTCACACAGACAAGCACATTTTAGGCCCCTGCTCAGAAAGGGATAGGGGGACTTCCCTGGCCGTCCAGTGGTTAAGACTCCACGCTTCCACTGCAGGGGGTGCGGGTTTGATTCCTAGTCAGGGAACTAAGATCCTGCGTGCTGCACAGCACAGGCAAAAATAAATAAAGAAGACAACATCTTCAAAAAGAAAAAAAAAAAAAGAAAGAAGAAAAGAAAGTGATGGGACTCTGAGAAGGTGGTCAGAAGTGAGAAGGGGAAAGGGGCGCTTGTTCCACACTTCCCTGGCCATTGGTATTTCCCTTCCCCCGCACCAGCCTGGACACACTCTGCTCTGGCCACTTTAACGGGTTAGACCTAAGAATTCCAAAGCCACAGATGAGCCAGAACCAAAAAAAGGAACTTCACATTTCCAAACCTCTGAAGGTCACGAAACTAAAAGTAAAGAAGAGATCCAAATGAACAGAGGGGAAGATGTGACCATTTCAAACAAACAAAACTCTCCAACTTTAATCTATTAAAAAAAAATAACTCAGTAGAACCAAAAGATAGACACACTGCAAAGAAAACAAAAGGTAGCAAGTGCTTTCGGCCAAGGGTGGTGACAGAGGACCCGCCGACAGGCCAAGGAGAGAAGGTGCCGGAGCAGGCGAGTCACCAAAGAGGAAATTCAGTTAATGGGAAGGCATGGGGGAGGTGAGGGCCTGGTAGGAATCAAAGAAATGAAATTTAAACCACATCGCATTTCCCATGTCTGGGGTCAGCAAGGTGGTTTGCTTTTTGTTTTTCATAGCACCTAATACTTCCAGCACCAGCCCAGGTGCAATGCAGCTGCAGGGGGGTGGTGTATCTGTGTGAGTTCGAGTGTGTGTGTGCCACAGTCCCCCTGCAGAGCAACCTGGCGCGATGAGTGAATACCTCAGCCGTATCCTCTGGCTCAGAAACTTACCAAAGGAAAGGATCTTTAAGATGGAAAAAGCTGCATATCCAAAGTTGCTCATTACAAACTAATTTAGAATGCTGGGAAACTGGAAACAACCTAAATGCTGCAAACTTGTTGGTGGGAAAGGGAGAGAGATTCAAGAATTAGGGCCCAGTCCCTGGGTGGAATAAAATGATGGTGACCAGATGCCAAAAAAGAAAGCCAATTCCGGGGAAACTGGATAAAAATCACAAAAACATTGTGGTCACAACTACTTTCAAAAGCAAGCAGCCTTTCTGCTTTTTAGAACAATCTGTTCAAATACAAAGCGTAGCAACCAACGACCTGACAATGAACTTTGGAGTCAGAGTATGACTTGGACCAGCAAGACACAAGAGGGTATTTCCTTTTCTTTTGTCTTTTCTGTTATCCAGCCTCCTAATTTACTGTATTCTATGTTTATAATAGTGAAACACACTTCGTTGTTAGTAGTCTATGATCCAGATTTTAAACTTTCCTTTTGCTGTCATGAAAAACAAGACTGGGCGGCCAAATGTCCCCTTGAGACTGTCCCAAACCACCTTTTTCACTCCTTTTTTTGGGGACTTTGAAAATTTTTGTTATTAGTTTTAGTCTGATGACACAGAGGACTTGGCTGGGAAACACACTGGTTCTCATAAACCAGCACTTATTTGGGGCATGAAACAAAGCACAGTGAGAGGAGGTCACTGGGACCAGGCCGGCGCTGTCACAGATCAACCTGCCCAGGGGAGAGAATTATTCGCTAATAACAGCTGAACGACAACAGCGCTGGGGCGATCTGAACAGCAGACTGTTCCATCCCATCTTGGCAAGTCTGAGATACGTTTGATATCGGATATAAAAAGTGATGCAATCAGTAGGAATCATTTCAAGTTCTAGGTTCATCTATAACCAAATCTTTTTCACTCTTAACTGACAAAATGTCAGATTTGTTATGTGGGGGAGACTGGTCACGTGTCCATTTCTTCTTTGAATCCACAGAGAACACAAAATTGAGCAAAATGTCAAGTCCTGGACTTCCCTGGTGGCGCAGTGGTTAAGAATCCGCCTGCCAATGCAGGGGACAAGGCTTCGATCCCTGGTCCAGGGAGATCCCACAGGCTGCGGAGCAACTAAGACTGCGAGCCACAACTGCTGAGCCCACATGCCACAACTACTGAAACCCAGGTACCTAGAGCCCATGCTCTGCAACAAGAGAAGCCACCGCAAGGAGAAGCCCGCGCGTCTCAACGAAGAGTAGCCCTGGTCGCCACAACTAGAGAAAGCCTGTGTGCAGCTAAGAAGACCCAATGCAGCCAAAAATAAAAAATAAAATAAAATAAATAAATTTATTAAAAAAAGAAAAAAAAGTCAAGTCCTAAAAGCAC